GAGCGGCAACACACCTCAATGCACCTGAAATATACATTACACACATCCTTCTCAGTGCCTTTGATTACCAGCCCCCTCATCTGAGATATCCCCTGAAATCTCTATAACCCTATACTTGCAGACATAATGGTGGAAGGAGAAGAGAAACCCCTAAGATCTCACTGATGAGAATGTAAAATGGTACAAACACATAAAAAAGAAGTTTGGCAGTATCTTCAAACATTAGACATAGAGTTACCATAGTATCCAGCAATTCCAGTCCTAGGTAGGTCCCCAGGAAAGATGAAACGGTATGTCCACACGGACTTGTCTACAAAGACTCCACAGCAACATAATTCATAATAGCCTGAAGCAGAAATGATCCACACACCTGTCATCCAGTGAATAAATGAAGCAAAATGTGGTATATACCTCCAACGGGACACTAATTGTGCAATAAAAAGGATGCACCTCAAATAGAACCAAGTAAAAGAAGCCAGCTGGGACAGACACCATACTGAATGATTTCATTCACATGAAATATCTATAAGAGGCAAATTGATCCAGAAAGAAAGTAGATCTGTGGTTGTCTGGGGCTGGGGGTGGGAATAAGAACTGACTACAAATGGGCACAGGAGATCCTTGTGGGGTGACAAATTCCAACACTGGATTTTAGTATGATTACACAACTCTGTAAATTTTTATAAAAATCATTAAATTGTACATTTAACATGAGTGATTTTTATAGTATATAAATTATACCTCAATAAGGCTCTTGAAAAAAAATCTTACCAGATAAAACAGCCATTCACAGGGGCTTTTAAGGGTCCCACACCATGAAGGCATGAAACACTATAAAGCTTATATGGTAGAGGGGTGCCCCTGCTGGCATCCTTGACTCTGTTATTCACTTATGCTTTGGGGCCTGGGATGTCAGCAGAGTCTTCCACCCTAAAACCAGTGAAGTGACTGCTACTTGGCTCACTGCCATCCCATTTGCCTCAAAGTGTCAAGTGGGAGAGCTGAGATGCCCGAATCTGGGGCTTAAGTGCAGGTAATTCAGTAACACACAGTGTTTTTCCAGAGCAAACCCCTCACATGGTCTAGCCTGACCAAGCCCAGGGTGGACATGGCAGACATTCTGAAAACCGAATTCAGTAACAATCAAATGAACAAGTAAGAGTCAGGCTGATTTTGACAGCCTAGAGACTTTAGGCCATTTGAGAAAGAGGAAAAAGAGAAAGAAAAGGACTGGGTACAGAGTCTCTGTTGTAACAAAAATAAGAACATCTGCTAAGCATATTGCTAAAAGATATTTTGAAGGGAGTGTTAAACATGCTTCAGAAACACCCACTGGAAGCACCTACTGATACCCAAGGATAGATATTCTAAATGTAATTCACTCTTACTGAGTCATTAGAGGAAGCCAATAACATCTCAAACTGCAAACCAAATTTAAATTGCCCTCCCTCCTTTATTTTAATGTAGTTATGACTGAATTTCTTTATAAAGGTTAAGTAGTCCTAACAACTCTACTGAAGGAGTCATGTTTTCTATCATACTCATGGAAGTTCTCCATTTTAATTCTGCAAATCTTAATGAACAAATGTCTGATCTCATAGTAACTGTTTGTAAATTTGCACACCTCACATCAGCTACCATACTCTAAACATCCTCATTCCAGACTTCGTTATTTGGGGATTCATGACTGAAGGGCCCCACCGCAGAAAACATTTATTGAAATCATCCACTGGGTAAAATTAGGGCAATTTTGGAGGCAAAACCAAAAAAGACATTCTAAGCACTCTCTAAACTACTTTATATTCAAACAATATGCTAATTATCAGAAATCTTATTTAAAAACACTACTGTTTAATTTGAAATTACTGAAAATGATTTCTTTTCATAAGGTTCTACAATTTCCAATTAGCTTTTCATTCACTTGGATAAACAACCTCTTTTTACATCCTTATTTTTACATTATTACATATCTTACTAAATATTTAATATATTTTAGTACGAAAATACTAACATGAATACTAATAATATGAGCCTCCAATAAGTAGTGGCTCTCAAACTTTTGGATCACAGGACCCCTTTACACTCATAAATAAATTATTGATGTACCAGAGAGCCTGACCCTGACCCAAAGTAAATTCCCAGGAGACATCTTTCCTGGGTTTTGGATTTGCCGTAACAGGCACGAGCATTCTCGCAGCAGTTTGGTGATCATGTACCATACTGCAAACAGGACCAAAAAAATTACTGAGGACCTAAAGACCCTTTTGCTTACTGTAGGTTACATCTATATTTTCTGTATTGGAAATTAAAACTGAGAAAATTTTAAAATATTACCTCATTTTAAGAAATAAGAAACTCATTACATGTTGATATACATCTTTTTAAAAAATTAAACATGGCTGCATTTTTAAAAAATTAGTGAAACAGGTAGTGCTGCTTTATACCATGTGACACTCCTCAGATAACAGCGGTCGTTTTCCTTTGATACTTTATCAAGAGTCAACAAGCAATAGTAGTTTCTTAATGGTAAGTCAGAATGTGGAATCTGAAACCATATCAATGAACGTTTCCAATTCTGCTACATTAAAATCCATTGCTCTAACACAGTATCAAATTACATTTGTCAATATCAAGATGGATCTCATCAGAAAAGTCTTTAAGTATTGAGAAGTTCACTAAGGTAGACACAAAGTTCCCAATATTCTAAGTTTCATTTGAAAGCCCAAATTTTATCTTTGGCAACAAATAGTGCCATTTGTTTTCCTTGATGTGACAGACTCATGTATTCATTTTCAAAATGTACTCTAGGTTGTAATAAAATTCATGAAGAACTTTTTTTTACAACTGCATGAATTTTAGCACCAGAGCCACTGCTCTGATTCATACTACAGCAGTACTTACTACCCCATTGGTTTTGTACCATCAGTGTGAATGTAAGCAGAATGCAAAAGGCAAATCATGTCTCAGTATTATAACAAAAATAGTTTTGATCTTGTCAACCCATTAAAATGATATTGAGGAACTCCCTAGGGGTTCACAGGCAACATTTTGAAAACTACTCTGTTACCACATAACTGATCCCCAACCACCATCCATTACTAGAAGGCAGCCACTAATTCAGAAAAGGAAAATGACTGTGAAGGCTTTTTCGGACTGTCCTTGGGTATTACGGATCCAACATCCATTAACGTAACTAGAAGGCTACATCTACTATCCACATTTCTGTTTTTTTAGAACAGGGTCTTGTTCTGTCACTCAGGCTGGAGTGCAGGGACACAATTATAGCTCAGGGCAGCCTCGACCTCCTGGGCTCAAGCTATCCTCCCACCTCAGCCTCCTGAGTAGCTCAGACTACAGGTATACACCACCACACTTGGCTAATTTTGTATTTTTCGTAGACAGGGTTTCCTTATGTAGCTCTGGCTGGTCTCAAACTCCTGAGCTCAAGAAAGCCCCCTGCCTCACTCAGCCTCCCAAAGTGCTGGGATTATAGGCATGTGCCACTGTGCCTGGCCTACTATCCAAATTTGAATATGGAAGCACAAAAGAACGAAATCTAGTTATCATGGAAGGATAAAAGAAATGAAACAAACTAATTTAATATGCAAATTTCCTTCCAAGGAATCTAAAATATAAATTTTCCTTTAATTTATCCATTTGTTCTCACATCTGTTGGGCTTTTTTGTGTAAGGTTTTTGCTTGGTAAACAGATACAAAGAAGCTTTGGTTGACAGATCCTGTGGCCAGGGTCCACGAGGGATTAAGCAATGAGGAAACAGAACAGAGGCATTAAACTCACAAAGATCTGATGTCAAGCTCCAGGTACCCAACCCACAAGCCTGTCTATGAGCCATATTTTCCTAGTTGGAGCTGAGGCAAATTCCACCTAAAACTTGGAGGATGACATGAAATGAACATAAAGCATTTAGCACAGCTCCTAGCACAGAGCAAGCATGCAATAAATGGAAGCCACTATATGAATAAGGGCCCATGAAGCCGTCAAGAGTCCAGAGGAGGGAGGACACCTTCAAATAATCATGACACAGCATGGGAAGTGATTACCAAATGCAGTAGGAGTAAAGGAGAAATCAATGGCCTACTTAAATGGGGAAGGCTCTATGATAGAGGAGCCATTGTCTCATGGAACAGAAGGAGCTGGCCCAGTACTACAGGGAGAAAGGAGCAGAAAGTCCATCTAGACAAACAGAAAGTGGGGCACAGACTGGGCAGGTGGAGCAATAGGGGTTTGGCAGGACACAAGAGGAAGCTACCCTGGAACCAGGTTGCTTAGGGCCTTTAATGCCACGCTAAGGCACACAAACATTTAAAAGTTTTTTAAAAATTGTGTAAAGGCTGAGGAATCATAAATTCACAGTACTAGCAGGTTATCTAGTCTCCTGGTGCTCCTCTAATCCCTCAGCACACACACATTATACTTATACCTATTCTGACCCATTAGCATTCCCCTGGCATTCCTCTCAAAGGCTCTGGAACATAAGCAAAGCTGCAGCAGCCAGAAGAATTTACCCATCATTTTAAAGTACAAACGACGTATATACTGGGCAAAGCTATTCTGTATCCTCTCTGATGCTTACAAAATCTTGAACCATGTAACTTTATCTTCCCAGCTCTAGGTCCTGTATCCAATAGAATTTATAAGTTGCTTTGATGCATGGAGAAGAAACAGAAAGAGGGTACAGTGCCCCATGTTTTCCATGATGACTTCAGCCATCTGTGAATGAGTGAAGCCCAAAGTGGCCGCCTGTTCCTCTTGCCCTTTGTCAGGGACAGAGAATGTCACCCAGGTACACCATGTGGATGCATAAGGCCAGCATGGGGACAGCCCACCGGTGTGAGTCCATGCTCCCCTGGCAATTCTGCAGAAACACATGAAGGTGCAGCCAGTGTAAATCCACAGCCAGCTGTGCTTCACTGTGCTCACCTAAGAGATGTGACCATTCAGACACAAACCACAGAAATCACAGCAATGTCTTACTCACCCAGAATTTTACGAGGAAGAAGGCATTTTGAGGGCCCTTTCCAAACAGTTCCTTTAAGCCACCTTTCTTTTCAGGAAATTTGTCATAAATCTGACGAATGTCCACTGATTCAAGCAATGGGTCACTGTAAGAATGGTTGGCATGCCCAATGTGCACGAAGAGGTGTTTGTTGTACTGTAAGAAACCAACAGAAACATTCCCATTACAAACCCTTTGATCAACCTGGGATTCATCCATCTTGAACTGGATAAAGAGCAGTAGTCCCAAAATTCTGTAATTAGGCCTTCCAGCCTAGGGTCAATGTTTTTGAAATGATGAGTATATTTAGAAAAGCCATTATTACGCAGGATTAAGACAATCATTGCCACATCACTTTTTCAATTATAAACAACAGCCCATGGAAATGTATGACGCACAGTCATAGCTGCCAAGCAGCTTCTAGTCTTTCTAAACTCAGTGGGCAAAAGGAAAAACAAATAACACAGGAAAAGGTATGGGCACAGATGCTGGTATAAAGGCAATCAGAGACAGAGAGTGGAATGTGGAGTACCGGGCAAAAGGCACTGCCTTCTTTGTTACCGAGACAACTGGCTGTGTATCTAGCCATCCAATCCTGATTAATCACCTCTGCTTGCAGCTAGCTCTCAGACCTACCCTGTTCTGGGAGATACCCTTCTCTCCATTCTAGTGCCCTCTGCAAGGAGTGAGTTTATGGGAGGCATGGGACACAACCCTTGGGGACCCACTGAACTGAATCCCAGTCTCCCTTTAGGCTCCTCACTCTCAGCTGTTCTGCCTCGCTAACTGCCCTGGGCCAGGCTAGAGCTGGGGTGAAGTTAAGAAGCTGGAAAACTTGAAGTTTTTGAGCGTAACATGAAAATGTCCCTGCACTGTACTGTTGGAAATGGGGACCATGGCCCTGACCTCTACAGGTCAAGAAGTCAAAAAGGTGAATGGGGGCAAAATCTACCGAATACCAATGGGAACCATGAAGGTACAGATGAAAAGCAAGGTGCTGAGTGTAAAGTACAAAAGCCTTGGAGCCAGACACAAACCTGAAACCTCAGTCTTCTCACATGTGCAGTGGGGATAAAAACCTGTAATATTTGTAATATTTTTGAGTATTAAAGGAACTAACACTCAGAAGGTGCTTGGCAGAGGGCCTGGCACATAAGAAATGTTTGATAGGGGCTGGGCTTGGAGGCTTATGGCTGTAATCCCAGCATGTGGGAGGTTGAGGACGGTGGATCGCTTGAGGTCAGGTGTTCAAGACCAGCCTGGCCAACAGAGTAAAATCCCATCTCCACTAAAAACACAAAAATTAGTCAGGCATGGTAGCCCATGCATATAATCCCAGCTACTCGGGAGGCTGAGGCAGGAGAATCACTTAAACCCAGGAGGCAGAGGCTGCAGTAAGCCAAGATTGCACCATTGCACTCCAGCCTGGGTGACAGAGACTCTGTCTCAAAAAACAAACAAACAAAAAAACCAGAAGTGTTCATGTTGGATAAAGGATAGCTGCTAAGATTCACCATGGTTACAGTTTATCATGTGAGATTCACTAGATCCGGAGGTAGAAGTAATGGAACTTTCCTGCTTTAGGTATCCCTCCTGCCTAGTTAAGAAAAAGAAACACAAATAAGCCAAGAGCTGGGAGCAAGCAGTGAAGAGGAGTGACTGCTCAAATCCCTGACCATGGCCTATCATAAGCAGCTGTTCAGTGTGTGGGCCTCTCACCTATGCCTTAAGGAAGGAAGAGAACTTGTGTCCATTGGGCGCTGTGAGCAATGTGCTGTTTATAGATGTGATCTCAGGTAATCATTGCCTCATGACAACACTGGAGGGACTTAATTTACATCATTTTACAGATGAGGAAATAGAAGCTTAGAGATGAACTGACTTGCCTGAGATCACACATACAGGAATAGTCCTGGAGTTAATAAAAGTTGGATCCATCAACACCACAGCCCTTGAGTTTGCTGCAAACATCACACTGTCCCCCAAAATAAAATGCCTAAACCCTTCTAACACCGTTAAACCAACTTTTTTTTTTTAAAGTTGATTTGGAAAAGGAACAACAACAAAAAAACTAAACATTGTTTGAAGTTAAATTCGAATTAGGGACAAACATGATTCACAAATACATCAGATAGAGTCCTCAAAGATTTCTATTTTGAGGAATTGACCTCTGTGTTCCAGGCTGAAATGAACAGAGAAGGGGCAGGCTGTCTGTCAAACGAAATCGGGCACTGCCTCTACAAGGCCGCTGACTTGAAACCAAACTCCGACCACTGGCATCTGAGTTGCTTCACTGCTGCCAAGAGGTGGTGACTGTTTCTAAGAATACAAAGTACTACAGAAGGTACCCTGGAGACCACGGCATCGAAACAAACAGACCGCCTCTACCCTTCATTCAACCTGGGTACATCAGGAATCCCTCTGCCCACAAATCCAAAAGCCTAAAAGGAAGAAATCTGTATGTTTAGGTTCAAGTTTTAATGAAATTAATTCTAAAAACCATTTGGTGAGGCTCTAACTACTTCCAGTCTTGCCATTTTTCCTTATAAGGAAAGTGTGTTAAGGTAGATTCTCTATTTGCTTCCCTCCTTTCCAAATAAATCCAATTTTTTCTCCAGCAGTGGTGGTTTCCCCAAAAGTGAAGAAGGCACATAAAACAAGTAAGGGCAATTCTATTCCATAGGGCACAAAAGGAATTCTCATAAAAGAAAACAGGCATTTGGGAGCAATATACCAGCAGAAAAAGGGTGAATGTCAATGACTCAGGTATGCAAGGCCCAAGGCTAGATTTCCTCAATATCCAAAACAGAGGCTAACTTTGACTTGTCCAAAGGAGTCCCCTAGGCACTCAGTAGGGGCACAACTGATTATCAACATCTCAGTGTCAACAATGGAAAAGGGACCCACTTGGCCTGTTTCTTTTATAGATTTTAGTAGAATGAATCAGCACACCTATCATCCATCATATATGCCAGGCATGGTGCTAGGCACCAGGAATCCATGAGCTAACAACAAAGTGCTCGTCTTCATAGTCCCTACAGAGTGACTTAGCGAGCTTACTGCCTCTGTACTTAGAATTGTATCTTCCCCAAATAAATACATGTTCTCACAGATTCCCACAGAAGACGAGGATAATAAAGACAGTCAACAACATTTCTGCATATCACATGAAGTAAATTAATATTTACCTGCTCTTTTTATAAGAATGACCTTATTCTCCAGCATTAAATATACAGTATTGTTCATTAGCAAGGAGAAAACATGTGGAAATCGCCTAGAAAACATGAACAAAGTTTCACGAGTCCAAGGCAAAAACCACGATGAACACCAAGTTATCCATTACACATGAAAGTAGAACATTCAAGGTTTCAGAAAACTGACCCTCCTTGCAACTTGTTCTCAGGGAGCTACAGGAGGATACGTTCCTACAAGATGAGGAAGTAAATTTTAAAAAGAGATGAGGTCTAACACAGAAGAAAAGTAAAGAAACTAGCCAGGTCAACCAGTCCAGAGTGGATCCGTGGAGCTGAGGGCTCCTGGAGGGATGTCAGCAAGAAAATAGACTCCTAATTTGTATCTCACCAGCTGGAGAAGAGTATCAGAGGAGAATGAAAGTTCTCCTAGAAACTTTTTTTTCTTTTTGAGACAGAGTTTAACTCTTGTTGCCCAGGCTGAAGTGCAATGGCGTGATCTCGGTTCACCACAACCTCTGACTTTTGGATTCAAGCAATTCTCCTGTCTCAGCCTCCTGAGTAGCTGGGATTACAGGCATGCGCCACCAAGTCCCACTAATTTTGTATTCTTAGTAGAGACAGGATGTCTCCGTGTTGGTCAAGCTGTTTTCGAGCTCCCAACCTCAGGTGATCCGTCTGCCTTAGCGTCCCAAAGAGCTGGGATTACAGGCGTGAGCCACCACACCCAGCCTCTCCTAGAAATTTTGAGGATGAATTGGCATAGGTATGCAAAACTGAACAATTTTTTTAAAAGACAACCATATACCCCAGAAAAAAAATTTTACGATTAAGAAAACTTATATATAACATTAACCGTGCTGTGTGCAAAATTTATACAAGTTTGTAAGATTAACTGAATGTTAATTTTTTTAATGTGATACAAGCACATGGGACTGAAAGGAAGAAAAGGGGTAAGTGGGGCATATACTAAATTTAGAGAGCTAAATCCTCGTTTTGTATGTTAAGAAGTCAATAGATGATGCCTTAAATTGACAGAATGATATATACAGTATAAGCACATTATTTAGAAATTTGGACATAAATATATTACTATAAAGAAATGGCTGCAGGCAATGGTCCCTAAAAAGTAAAGTGGCAGGTGAGGAGCCATGAAGCAGCAGAATACTGCTTTTCCTATGGGCCATACATTTCAATTTGGCTTATACAATTATTTTATTAAATAAACCAGCAATCAAAAACTATCTTGAAACATGAGGAGTTTTCCTGAGGAAGGGAAAGAACTGTAAAAGGAAGCAAAAAAATATTACTTCACGACGTTTATTCTGTGTTAGCCACAAGTTCCTTGGGCTCTAAAGGAGCTAGAGTCAGACTGCAAAGCTTTCCTACTGCTTGAATGTGCAGGATGGCTGGCAAGGAGCTGGGATGCCTGTCTGCAGGCAGGGTTCACCAAAAAGACCTGGAGCAAGGATGTGATGCCTGCAGCACCTGACACAATCTTAATATGTGGATTTCTATTTTGACTTGGGGAAATGTTCATTTTCTCTTTCTATTGCTATAATCCCTTGTGGCAGTAGGGATTCTTCATGGTAGTTGCAAACAATAATAAAGGTGAACACAACCCTCAAAACTCAACCATTTACTTGCAAAGGGCTTCTGAGATACCCTGGGGGTTTAATAAAGAACTTTCCTCTTCCTTCAAAGCTGCTCTATGAGGTCACTTTGTTTCCTAGCCCCTGGCTATTCTTTGCTGCTTAGGGAACCTGCAGTGAGAAGTGATGAGCACCTGGACTGTGGAGTCAGATGGAATCTGAGTTTGGATCTGGGTTTGAATCCGAGCACTGGCACCACTTCCTATTTGAGTCATCCAAGGCAAGTGATTATAGCCCTCTCTGTTGCAGTTTCCATATCCATAGTGGAAATATGCATACTTAGTGGAAATACAATGCAGGAATAATAATAGTA